AATGTGCATGACCGAGACTCCGGGAAGAATGGTCAAGTTGTCTGTTATGCACCTCATAATCTACCTTTTCAATTAGAAAAATCAATAGATAATTATTATAGATTGGTGACATGGAACTATCTGGACCGAGAAAAGATCCCTATGTACAACATCACAGTGACGGCCTCAGATCTAGGAACCCCTTCTCTATCTACTGAAATTCATATCACCCTGTATGTGGCAGATACCAATGACAATCCACCCACTTTCCCTCATGCCTCCTACTCAGCGTATATCCCAGAGAACAACCCCAGAGGTGCCTCCATCTTCACCGTGATGGCCCACGACCCTGACAGTGGCAACAATGCCCAGGTCACTTACTCTGTGACTGAGGACATCATCATGGGGTCACCTGTCTCCTCCTATGTCTCCATCAACTCAGACACAGGCATCCTATATGCACTGTGCTCCTTCGACTATGAGCACTTACGAGACTTGCAGCTACTGGTGACTGCCAGAGACAGCGGAGACCCTCCACTCAGCAGCAACGTGTCTCTGAGCATATTTGTGTTGGACCAGAATGACAACGTGCCAGAGATCCTGTACCCCACCCTCCCTATGGACGGTTCCACAGGTGTGGAGCTGGCGCCCCGATCGGCAGAGCGTGGCTACCTGGTGACCAAGGTGGTGGCGGTGGATAGAGACTCTGGCCAGAATGCCTGGCTGTCCTACCGCCTGCTCAAGGCCAGTGAGCCAGGACTTTTCACGGTGGGGCTGCACACGGGCGAGGTGCGCACAGCACGGGCCCTGCAGGACAGAGATGCGCTCAAGCAGAGCCTGGTGGTGGCGGTGCAGGACCATGGCCAGCCCCCTCTCTCGGCCACCGTCACGCTCACCGTGGTGGTGGCCGACAGCATTCCAGCTGTCCTGGCCGACCTGGGTAGCGTCAGGACCTCTGCTAACTCAGACGATTCTGACCTCACGCTGTACCTGGTGGTGGCAGTGGCCGCAGTCTCCTGTGTCTTCCTTGCCTTTGTGATTGTGCTGCTGGCTCTCAGGCTGAGGCGCTGGCACTCGACGCGCCTGCTTCAGGCTTCAGGAGGCGGGCTGGTGGGCGTGCCCGCCTCGCACTTTGTGGGCGTGGACGGGGTGCAGGCTTTCCTGGAGAAGTATTCCCACGAGGTCTCCCTCACCGCCGACTCGCAGGCGAATCACGAGATTTTCCCGCATCCCAACTACGTGGACACACTTATCAGTCTGGAGAGTTGTGAGAAAAATGATCCCTTATTAACATCCATAGATTTTCATGAATGTAAGGATGAAGCTGCTTCTATTCAGGTGAGTTCAGTTCTGTGTACGTTTTAATTCTCAGGGAAATTATATTTTTTATAAATTTATGTTTTCGGACATACATTGCGGAGACAGTTCAAAATATTTTGAAAAAGTGTACCACAAAGTTTTTGGTTTGTTTTAGTGGTGATACTATAAAATTGAGCTCTAATCACGATAGTTGGTTTCATTTGCTCTCCAAAGGCTCGGACAAGATTGTTTAAACATTGATTCTCAACCTTTTAACATCTTCCATATATGGGGCACCTGGCCGGCTCAATTGGCAAAGCACGTGACTCTTGATCTCAGGGTAGTGAGTTGGAGCCCCACTTTACATGTAGAGATTACTTCAAAAATTTTTAAAAATAAAATCCTTTATATGTTACTATAATTACCACTTATCACTCATTCACTTAAGAAGTAGTTACCCAACCACATATGGTAAGTTTGTTGTATAAATAGGGGATATATAACTGAGACTTTTAAATCCTTGTATTAGCTTGGTAAAAGTAAAATACATTTCAGAATTTTAGAAATCTGTTTAGGATTTGGATCTTGAAGGTCTTGAAGTTTTCTAGGTCTTTGAGGATTTCTTCATTTTAAACCTCTTTTATAAGCCTTGTGCTTGCATCAGTACCCTTCAAAATTTTAATACTTATTATATTTTAAAACATAAATACATTTGAAAGGATGGATTTTGGTGGTAGGTGAGACTGGTTCCTTTATGTGTCATTGGTCTCCAAGAGCTCATACTAAAGAAGACGTAGAATCTAAAGCCTGAAATGTCCATCAACCCCCCCCCATAAAAACAACAAAATCATACTTTAAATAAAATGTCATTTTGTAGCATAAAGAAGAACATGTTTTCACTGAGTTCCAATGAGCTGTTTTGATTGGACAGCCATGTGAAATGTTCTCATGGTGAGAGAGTTTGAGAATGTAGTTTAAAAAAAAAGTAGTTTCATGTAAACAGATTCTAAACAAGCTCATCAATTCAACTAAAAATGATTCCATCTAGATTTTATGTCTTCTGTATTCCTTGTTATAGCATTTTAACAGTGCTTACCATTTATTTGTCATCACATGAGAGTGGAAAACACAATAAATCATTTGTTAGTTATAAAAAGGGCATGTCTGAAGGATTGTGTAGGGTTCCCTCCTATTTTGCACATCCTGTGCGTGGGAGTTAATTTCGTATTTTCTGTAGTGTTTGGGTGCACAGTCATTTGAAGGAACAACTGTATTATTGACATTTTGCAATTTTTAAGTGTTTTGAAACTTGCCCTGATAGAAAATAAAATCCTTACTCTTGTTCAAAAGATTCACTGATTGTTCAAAAATTTCAACAAATGGAATAAAATAATTAGAACAAATGACATTTATCCAGGAAATTTATGCAAATAAACTTACCAGAAGCTCAATTCCAAAGTCATTGCTTCAGTATTACATAGATACATAGATCAGAAAGTCAGGTGGTCTGCTGAAGTATCCCTTTGTGACTTTATATTGAAGAATAAACATTTCCCTAGTGACTTTTAAGAATGAATTCATGTATGATGTTGGGTATGACATAAGCCAAGTAATTGTGAGATATGAAGAAGGAGGTAGAGTAAATCATCCCTTGGCTACATCATAGGGACAGGTTTTTAAAAAATGAATGCTTCCTTAGGTAGTCAAACAAGTAAAAAGAAATTTTTTGAAGAGAGTGTTGATATTATCAGAAGGAGATGCTTGAGGATTGGTATGAAACTGCAAAGCTTTACAGAATAGTTTTCAACACTATTGGTATTCTCTAATACATATGACATTAAATAACATTTATAATGTAGAGATGTTGGGGGAAACATTTAGGAATCATGAAAGAAGATTAAGATTGTTTCACATATCATACCTAATAAACAGAAATGAATTTGTGAATACAGTATATGATAAAATTTCTAAGGTCAAGACCTGTGTCTTATTCATTGTTGCATTGTTGTATCATCACTGACAAGGGCACTACTAAGTACAAGGCAAGAGTTCAATGTATGTTTGTAGTAGGGTGAAATGGATGGACCAGATATGTCGGTTAATATAAAAACTCATCACATTTCTAATAATTTGGAAACAAGAGAAAATATATATTAAAGAAGGCTTTATAATTTAGGATATTAAATATATTAACATTAAAACGTGGCTTGTTCAGTTAGGCACTGGATTGTGATTATTGTAGCTGGTTAAACTGAAGCAGCAGGGGCTG